TAATGGGCCTGCGCCCTTCAGGAGTCCAGGGAACACCGAGGAGCTTGCTCTGGAGTGAATGAGCGAGACACGGGGCACCTGGTACAACGTGCGGCTCTGACGTGGTGTGGCATGATTCGCCATGAGGAGCTCTGAGACCATCAGGGAAGCTCGAGCGAGGGCTGAGGGACAGAAGAGACTGGTCACGCATCAGCCGCCGTCTTCTGATTTGGGGGAATCTAGAGGATGTCTTTATGGGAAATAAAAGTTAAAGTATTTGAAGTTAACAGGGTAGCGTGTCTGCAGCTTATTCTTAGATGGTTCAAGAAAAAATGTCTTTTTCTGTAAGTTTGAGATAGCTTCAAAATAAAGGGTAAAGTCTTTTCCAAAGATTTTTAAAATTAAACCAAATTGTCCAACCACGTTGCATGCTGCTAAGTGGTCCACCAAGACAGAAACTCTCCAGAGGCCATCAGAGATCTTGGAGGCAAGGACACGGGTTGGGCCGAGACGGTTGAGGTGCCAGTGGCCACTGCCATCAGCTGTTCAGAGGTGTTGCTGTGAAGGGGGACCAAGGGGCCTCCAAAGCAGGGGCTGCGGTGAGGGGGGTGGGGACAATGGTGTATGCAGGAATGCTTGGACAGTTAAGAAGCTATAGCCCAAGGAGGACGAGTTGTGGAGAAGTTCTGTCTTCGGATATTTGAAGATCTTGCAAAGTCGAAGAGATGCTTTGGTTTAATTTTCGGAGGAAAGAAGAAGAGCCAGTGTCTACGGAGCAGGGGGCTCTGACTAACTCGAGCCATCCAGTGACTGAGTGGTTGGTGGCCTTGCACGAAATGAACTCCTGTCACAATCGGTGGCAAGCAGAAGTGACTCCTCTGGTGACTTACGGCTGAGGCCAGGTGGACCTCCAGCTCCCACTGCATGCTCGGGCCCACGGTCACTGTCACCTGAGTTTGTTAAAATAGGATGTTCTCAGCCCTTTTCAAAATCTTGAGTCTAAGCGGAAATGACCGCTGCTTGGGGTTCTACATCTGCTCTAACCACCGCGTGTGGGGCTTAAGGAGGAAAAGACCAAGCTGTTGGGGTCCTCTCAGCAGGTTTCTTTGTTGCTTGCTGCACTCACCACAGGGGTGGACAGTCTCACTCTTGCAGTGACCAGGGAATCCCTTGGATCCTTAAACATGATTTTGAATTGGGGAAGGTCCGATTGCCGCCTGCAATCAGGCCAGTGGCCGTGAAGGTGTTAGGGCATGGAAACCGGAGCACGGCGCCCTCCTCCTTTGTGTGTTGTCGGTGACGGCAGCTTGGGGCGTATAGGATTGGTCACAAGGATTAGCCTTTGTATTATTTTTCTGCTTTTTCTTGGAGCCTGTTTTCTTTTTAGAGACAGTATATTTGGAAGTGAGAAGGGTAAGAACAGTAGCAAGGTAGCGCACCCATGAGTTTGCATTCATGGGATGGAGAAAACGGACATTTGTCTTCTTATGTATTTCGAGGAATGTATTGTCAGAGGAGTGAGAAACAGATGAGTTGTTAGCAGGTAAGTGGGGAAATAGCAGTAGTGTGGGTTTGTGCGGACCACAAATAAATTTATAACTGTGGAGGGACAAGGAATTTAGGATACTGACGTTCTTTCTGTGAAAAGAATACTCTACCTTTTAAGTGTCTGCAAAAGCATGACCCTTCACAAAATTACTCTAACTCTGGAACACTCCATTTTATATATCACAATATCACATGAGATAGGAATTAAAATAGTATTGTGGCTCCTGTTTATCTGAAGAGAAGGCCTCTATTTTTTTTATCCTGCTGGTAATTTATGTATTAAAATGTTACTTGTAAGAGTCTGAACAACTCATCATTAGCAATCTGTAACTCATCCCAACTTAAATTTTATAGTGGATTTTTAGGTTGTTCTACAAATATGCTTTCTTAACAAATACAGAAAGACCAGTTTGGTACAAATATAATATCTTCTTTTCTGAGAATTTAAAAATAATCTCTTTAAAGTTATTTCATGATTGTTTTCTGGCAACATTCTGTGAACAAAAACATGGTTTTCAAAGGCCACAAACTAAGGAGATGTGAGATTTTGGAGGTCAGGGAGGTTGAAACAAAGCTTCTTGCCGATAGCTTTTCTCAATCCTTATTTTAATGCTGCATTTCTCTATGAACTCAGGAAAAAAACCTGTGTTGAGTTTTTTAAAATATTACCTCTTTTAGCGTCTTCATACATAGTTGTTGAAACCTGTAAAGACTCACCGATATGAAAATATGAGCTTTGAAAAATCTGCTTGCAGCCACCTCAGCCCTAGGAATTTACTGAAGAAGAAATGTGGATATAAAAAGGTTTGGGTTCTGAGATGTTTAATGTCTTTTTTTTTTTTTAAGATTTTATTTATTTATTTATTTATTTGACAGAGATTACAAGTAGGCAGAGAGAGAGGAGGAGGAAGCAGGCTCCCTGCTGAGCAGAGAGCACGACGCGGGGCTCAATCCCGGGATCCTGGGATCATGACCTGAGCCAAAGGCAGAGGCTTTAACCCACTGAGCCATCCAGGCGCCCCTAATGTCTTACTTTTAAATAAGATCATGGATTATGGCCTAAATGTCCAACAGCAAGGGAATGAGGACATAAGTTTAGGTGCACCCGCTTATGCGTGAGGATCCTTGTGCATCCATTAGAGGAGAATTATGAGACACGGAGCAAACGGGAAGGTGTGGCTGTCTGCTTAGAAAAGCAGGAAGACATGTTCGCAGAAAGTCCATGTGTCGGGACGCCTGGGTGGCTCAGTTGGTTAAGCGGCTGCCTTCGGCTCAGGTCATGATCCCAGCGTCCTGGGATGGAGTCCCACATCGGGCTCCTTGCTCGGCAGGGAGCCTGCTTCTCCCTCTGCCTCTGTCTGCCTGTGCTCGCTCGCTCTCTCTCTCCCTCTGTCTCTGACAAATAAATAAATAAATAAAATCTTTAAAAAAAAAAAAAAAAAAAAAAGAAAGTCCATGTGTCTACAGACAGAGGCAGGAAGAGAGGCCAGTGCCATCTTAGGGGTGGGACTGAAGGCACACTTCCCTGTTGGAAAGCCACTTAGCATCAATGAAAACTGGCTTTCAGAGGTGGATTTGGCCACGATTTGGGCATTTTGCCAGTGAGTAGTCCAGAGCCTAAGACTGGGTGTCAGTCCTGCCATGGCTGGGGGAGGGAGGCGACCATCCCGCCTGTCGTTCCCACACCCGCAGGTGGACAGGGCTCCTCTTGAGCAGCAGGTGTGCCCCGCACTCTCAAGTTGGGGGTGAGCCCTCGAGGGAGGGTACAGCTGCTTTTCAGACTCCTGTCTGCCTTTGGCGCCACTTCCCTGAAGACCTGCACTCGGCGTCCCTGAGCGTCCAGTGACAGAGTCCACGGAGTGGTTCTAGGTGTATGGGAGGTCAGCCCTGTGTTTAAGATTCTACAGCAGAAATTGTTCTCGAGATGATACATAGCCAGCCCTTCCTCAGCATCAGCCAGACAAGGCTGACTGTCATCAAATTCATTTTCATTCCTGGAGCCTTTGAGAGCAATGCCACTTGGGCCCTGGGCCGTGGACGTCCTTAGAGCTGCAGACGTGGGGCATCTCCCACTCACTGGTGGAGACTTTCCGGCCGCTGCCTTACGTGCTTCTCAGCTCCACTGGAGCTCGCCTGCTGGGTTTCTCCACGGGCTGCATGAACCAGCTTCAGACAGCTTGTTAGCTCCCTGGCTGCCATCTGTCCACTCCTGCACTGTCTCACACCTCGATTAAATCCATTCACACCGGCACTGTCCCAGCAGGCCCCTGGTCCCTGGCTCCCAGCCCATGAGCCCCCGCTCAGAGACTTGCTTGGAACTCCTGCCCCACATAGCAGATGCAGACCCCTGAGTTGGAGTACTCAGGGCTGTCGGCCTCCAGGCACCTGCTTGCCCTTGGTGTGGAATCTTCTACTCCTCTCTCTCCTGTGAAGCTCTGTGGAAGCTTTGCTTTTTGGATTGTAACATCAAAAAATTTATTTTCCATCACAGTATGTGAACAAGGACATGCCCCAAGGCTCAGGTAGGAATTTAGGCACCAAATGAGCTTCTCTGTCTCTGTCTTACCGGACAGAGCCTGTTCAGTTGGGGTTGCATTTTAAAGGGCAAGTGCTTACAGCATTACTGATGATTAAAATAAAACTGAACAGACAAAAACGAGCTGCACCTGTGGCAGGAGGTTGTTTCTGTCTGTACATGGCTGAAACACCACTGGAGAGACTGAAAGAGACACGGAGACACAGAGACGGGGTGGGGTGAGCCTGACATTCACGAGGGAGGAGGCGGACGTCAGTGTTAGATTTTTTGTGTTCTTTGTGTCCTTTATCCTCGAGTTGCAGCCACCTCCTCATCCAGCTCCTGAGAAGAATGTGACACTTAGTACATTTTTTCCACATGCCTCCACTAAGACATTCCTGAAGCTTCGTTTCCCCCACAGACAGTGACAAAAGGCACAGAATTGCATCTTTGAGTGAGAGGCATGGCCACTTAACTGCATGGTAAAGGCATGGCCGGAATCTGTGTTTTCACACTCTGAAAGCAAAAGTATGGAAGCCCATGTCTTCTGATTGGATCAGCCCTACAGATGTCTGTATGTGTTCTGTCCAAGTATTTTTTTAGAATAGTTCTGTCGGGAAAATCATAGGGGACTTTCTGGTTTTGAAGAACTGAGTGGTGTTTTAATACCGTTATGAGGTGTGCTACACATTCTGCGTCATTACAGTTAACTTCCTGTCCACCCTGGTCCAGGGAGGAGTAGAAAGAGAAGTTTTTTCGGACTGTTCAGAGAATAGATATGAAAGGAATAACAATTTAAACCTTTAAACATGTGTACAAAAGGCAGTGTCTGTGTCATAAACACATTTTTCTAAATTCATTACAGTGCATTACCTGTAATTCTTTGAGCTGGCAGGTCTTTCAGCTGTGTATGAGAAACAAAATAGAGTAGTTGCAATTTAGTATAATCTATTTAAAATACATGTTCTTCCCTCTCTTTGAACAATCTGTCCAAAATGCAATCCATTCATGTGGGATTTTGCCTGTACAGCCCTGAGTGGGAATCAGTAGTTTCTTTGTTCGTCACTATGGAAACAAGTCAGCCTATCCCCGATGGCTGTCAGATCTCACAGGCTGCCGCTGCCATCCACTCGGCCGCAGCTCTTCCCGCTGGGAGCCCAGCCATGCAGGACCTTCCCCGGCGGTGCTCGGCCCTACCCTTCCTCAGCGCCTTCTTCCAGGGCCGCCGGCACTCATCCTCGGACCCTATCCTGCAGCAGGGCCGGCGCGGTTCAGCCGCACAGACGCTCTCCTCGTCCTCTCTCCAGGTGATGGTGGCAGTGGCCTCTGTCAGCTGTGCCGAAAGAAACCCAACTTGCCTCCAGAGAAAAAGTAAAAGCTTTTTTCCTCCTTAAAGATTGACACAGCTTTGAGTTTAAATTCAGGCTGTTGACAGTTAATTCTACATCGTACTTTTTACTGTCTGTTATACTAAGAGCTTCAGTGGACATGTAATAGGAGATAAAGTGATTGAATGTTTTGTGCTTTTGCATTGAAAATGTAATTTTTGAAAAAACTCATTTCGTTATAAAAGATGTGCTTTTATAGTTTCTTCTTCTGCATCACCTGTATGACATGTAGAGATTACTGTGCATGAAAGCCTTTTCTGTATTAAGAGATCGTGCACTCAGATGAGAAGGAAACAGTTTTATTTCTGATAAAATGAAGGGAATGTAGCACCAGCTCATCATCTACGGTCCTGAGAGAACATGGAAGCTGTTTCTCATGTTGTTATTCCACATGGAGAGTGGAATTTTGAATCCTCCTGTCCTTGTGTGTTCTAGGAAATTCAGGACGTCCAACACCGAAGTATACAAAAGTCGGAGAGCGTTTACGGCATGTGATTCCTGGACACATGGCCTGCTCCATGGCGTGTGGTGGCAGAGCGTGCAAGTATGAAAACCCGGCCCGCTGGAGTGAGCAGGAGCAAGCCATTAAGGGGGTTTACTCGTCATGGTAAGTGCCATTAAGGGGATCTACTCATCGTGGTCAGTGAGTCTGCGGCAGGGAGTGGCTGTGGAGGAGGGAGCGTGGGGGGGCTGCAGTCCCAGGACCCCACACCCCGCACCCCGGCCTTGTGGCTTGATGAGCTCATGCAGGTACTCAGACCCTCATCTGTAAAGTGGAAATAACAAAACCAACCCACAGGGTTTTTTTAATTAATTGAAATGATTACGTAGAATACCTTAAAGAAATGGTAGTGAGATAGCTCTTAAATATCAGAAGTCACCAGAAATAATGTGTTCAGCTCTAAATCTGAGAAGGCAGGAGGTACATACGTGGTTTGTCAACTTCACAGAGGTACACGTCAGCTTCATTTTTTTTGTTCCCGTCTTGTGTATGAAAGGGCACGCTTCCCCACAATACACCGCCCGCGTGCCTCAGTAGAGAACCGTGCGAGTTGTTGGCTCAGCAGACAGCATAAGGTGCATGCGTGGTTGATGGGACACAGATGTGAATCCTGTGGTAAATCTTTCTGCTGCTTGTTATTCATAGTAAACTGTCAAGTAGACCTCTTTTGATGCAGTGATATCTCTGATGAATTCTGATAATCAAGCCAAATCACCTTTGTTTGTTTTGTTTTTTCAAGATTTTTTGTTTTTTCAAGATGGCACAAGTGGTGGGGGCGGGGGAAGGAGCAGAGAGAGAAGGAGAAGCAGACTCCCTGCTGAGCAAGAAGCCCAATGTGGGGCTCAATGTGGGGCTTGATCCCAGGACCCTGAGATCATGACCTGAGCTGAAGGCAGACACTTAACCGACTGAACCACCTGGGCATCCTGCCAAATCACCTTTGAAACCCACGAAGAGGAATTCATGGTTTGAAGAACTCTAGTAGTGAATCATTTTCTGTGGCAAGAATCTATTTCCAAGCTAGACTTTTGTCAACCGGCCTACCTAACTTGCCACCTGTGTGTGGTGTTAGAGTTGGGGTCTGTTGTCACAGCCATTCCCCACAGATCGTATTCTAGTCTAAAGAGTGTTGTGCGAAATCAAGCACTAGGCCTGAGGTGTGGTCAGACTGTAAATTCCCTATAATATAGCTTGAGATCACAATAATATCTTTGGTTTAGGGGCGCCTGGGTGGCTCAGTGGGTTAAAGCCTCTGCCTTCGGCTCAGGTCATGATCCCAGGATCCTGGGATCGAGCCCCACATCTGGCTCTCTGCTCAGCAGGGAGCCTGCTTCCCTTCCTCTCTCTCTCTGCCTGCCTCTCTGCCTACTTGTGATCTGTCTGTCAAATAAATAAATAAATCTTTAAAAAAAAAATCTTTGGTTTATTGTTGACCAAACATCTGAGTCTTTTTCATCTGTCATGGTTTCAAGGTACTTCTCTCCTCATCTTATGCTAAGTACTACTGAATTTGGGGGAGTCCCCATCAAATTTCAGGGCTTGCCCCAGTGGGGGGTGTGATATCTTTTGGATTGTGCTCTGCTCAGCTGATGTCTCTGTTACTCGTCAGGCTCATGTGACCCATAGCTCCCGACAGACTGCCTGACATGTCTTTCACCAGACCCCTGAGGAGGGGCAGCTGTCTGTTGGGGGGCCTCTGTCCATTTGTCCTCAGGCCAGGCACTGTGCTAGACACTGTCAAATTATTATGTCATCTTCATAAAGCTCCTGGAAAGCAGACGTGGTTTATGTCATCTGTTGATGAAGGAATTGAGGTCCAGAGAGACTAAGTAACCTACTATCCAGCTAGAAGTAGAAAAGCCAGTATTTGAAACCAGTCCCAACTGATTCCAAAGCCCATATGTTTTGCCGAATTAGAATAACTCAGCATTTATTCATCACCACATGCCAGGATTTGTGCTAAAGACTTACACCCACATTGTGTTGAATTCTCATGCCAGCCCTGTGAGGAAGGCGTTAACCCCTACTTGACATAATAGGTAACTGAGGGGCAGAATTACCTTTGGTGCCCAACGAGGTTCCTCCACCACACCCACTAGAGTCTCATGAGAGTCCTTGAAATCACACTGCCAGAGTCCATGAATACTTTACATCCTGGAATTTTCCCCAGGGATTCAGGGGTTCTTAGAGCCCTCATGATACAAAATTGAAGCCAGAATCTGTATAAGAAAATTGTATCTAGAATTGTTAAAATCAAAGAAAAAGTAGGGACTTGATATCTCATTCTCTTAGTTCTTAGAGCTGGAACATTCCAAGTTTTGTGCATCTCACCAGCCCCTCCCCACTCCTAGGGTCACTGAGAATATCCTGGCTATGGCTCGCCCATCCACGGAGCTCCTCGAGAAGTACGGCCTCATCGAGCAGTTCCAAAGGTAAATGCCATGTCGTTGACACACTCTCTAAGGCAGTTCTTGTTTTCTCGTCCATTGCTTTTGACTCCAAATAGTCGAACAATAGGCAGTGGAGAGCTTATTTCAGTTAGGAAATTGAGGTTTTAAGAGTGATTAATAATGTTTATTAATGCCAAAAATGCTTGATTTTTTTAAACACTTGCTCCCAATATGATAACTTTTTTCTTTTCTCCTATAAGTCATGGCATAAAAACAGTCATCAACCTGCAGCGCCCTGGCGAGCATGCCAGCTGTGGGAACCCTCTGGAACAAGAGAGTGGCTTCACATACCTTCCTGAAGCTTTCATGGAGGCTGGCAGTAAGTCCCTCCACCTCCCCTCCATGAGGTACCAAGAAGGGCACACAGACTTGTCTGCTCAGCTCTTTCATCACAGGGTGATAGAATGACCACTTTCGGGGGGTGAGGGGCACAGTGGGGGTAGCGGGCTCCCTACAGGGAAGATGAGCTGACTGATTCTAGATAATGCCACCGTTCTTCTCGTTCTTCTCGGGTGGTGCTGCTGAAAGTACAGGATTTCTTTTGTCCTGGGAGAGGGATCTCGGGAGGAGCCCCGTAGAAACAATGCCCGCATTAGTTACCATAACAGGACACTGGCCCTGTTGCTCGGCACCCCCGCTTCCAGTAGTCCCTGTTTCTGCTTCACACATGGGCCTCGCAGGCTTAGCGAGTTCCCACTCGTCCGGGTCACACAGCGTACACACGGCAGCAGGATTGGAACACAGGACTCACTCGTGCTTTTACTGCTGCCCAGCTCTGATTCTGGGCAGGACGCAGGGATTCTTCATGCAACAGTCCCAGAAGTCCTAGTCTTGGGAGCCTAGGGACCGAGTCCACCGAACGCATGCCATTCAGAACCAGGCTGGAGAGGACCACCCCTGGCCACTTTTGCGACTTGTTTTTAAGAACTGTGTGTCTAGCTCTTTTTGTCTCCGCTGGGTGGGAAATCTGAATGTACCCACCTTGTGCCATTTATCAGTCCTTTAAACGCATTTCCATGCTTAAACCAGGTGCCATGCTTTCCCTCTGTAGCTGAGTAATTTGGGCCAAGGTCATGGAATTTATTAATTTGCAATCCTGTTTCACCTTAATTCTTTCTGGCTGAGTTTTAGCAGGAAATATCTTAAGTAATATAGAGTGTGCTTTGTAAGAAATGTTAACAATGAACTTACTGGAAATATAAAAACCCCATTATTTTAGGCCTCTGCATCTAGTCTTACAGCTTTATACTTTTCATGAATTCACTCACCTTCTTCAGATGGCTATGCAAGTACTTTTCCTGTATGTTAATTGTTTTTTCCTATTTTCTTTTTTTTTCATTGTCCAGTTTATTTCTACAATTTTGGATGGAAGGATTATGGTGTAGCATCACTCACCACCATCTTGGATATGGTGAAGGTGATGACATTTGCCTTACAAGAAGGAAAAGTAGCGGTCCATTGTCATGCGGGGCTTGGTCGAACAGGTAAATAAATTCTAGGAAGTGGATGTATTGTCTTGTAGCATATTCAAACATGCAAAGAATAGTATTTCATAATTCTAGAGGATAATATTTTTCAGAATCCTATCAAAGTTTTGGAGTCAAATGGTAGAAGCCACTGAAAAAAATTGGAAATATCTTAAATAAGTAGTTTCAGTGATCGTTTATTTGTGAGAGTGTTTTTGAGAGACTTAAGCCAGAAAACTCATCATATTTACTGAACAGATGGGTTTCCACAGCCTCACCAAGTGACCACTCTGGTTTTTCTTCTTTGAAGGAAACAACCCTAACACTTTATTTATACTAGGTAATGTCTTTTAAAAATGTAGTTTTCCTTAACCAAAATAATGAAAATAGAAAGCATTGTTTTAGTTGTTGTGTTATAAGCACTTTACACTCGCTGTTTTGTTTTTTTTTTTAAGTCTTTAACAACAATGTGAGTTTTGAAGGAGGTTAAGTAATTTGCTACATTGAGTAAGTGACAGAGCCAAGATTTAAATTCACGGCTGGAAAGATTGTGGAGGGAATCTCACTGTGCCTAAAATTCTGTATAAAAATCAATGATTTTACTTACAAATGCAGCACATCTCAGTGCAGTGCTGATACAGGGGCAAAAATAAATACCATAAGGTTAGAATATAAATTGTCATCGGGTCCGGCCAGACTCCTGAGCTCAACACTGCCCACAGTGTACCTGTGTACCTGTTTCCAGGCCTCCCACCTGCTTGGGAGTATGTTTGGGGTGGGGGCTCAGTTCTGCCCAAGAACAATAGCTCTTAGGGTCCAGCGAAAACCTCACTATTCCTGGCGATTCCACATGACAGCATCGCAGATACTTCTTACACCAAAGTGCCAAGTCCTGGTGAGAAAGATTTGTGGGACGATGCCCCTACTGGGAACCACGCAGTTTGCAGAGGTCCTGATTTTCATGTGTAACGTGATGAACAAACTGGTGAATCACACAGATGTCTGCTGATTTGCCTTTCACCTTGATATTAGTTAACTGTCAAAGTTGAATTAATTGATTAATCATCACCATTGTTATTCGTTTTAATTTAATATTAATTAACAAGAATAATAATGTCTATAACATTAAGGTTGTCTCCTTTAGTAATAAGTATTTATAGAATAAAGTTATATCTTGGTCTGGAGAAAAGCACTGTTAGTATAGACAAAAGTCCAGAAATTAACTGTCAATATGAATAATCCCCAAAGAAAAAAATGCCTGAAAAGGAAGAATGCCAGGCTGGGAATGTGGCAACAATTCTGCAAAGATGGCAGAAGTGGAAAGTAAGTGTGCAGTCAGGGCGGGTAATGGAGTGAACTGTGCTCGGGCTCCTTATCCTCTTTAGACCAGCTTTAACAGGGGTGAAAGCAAATCCTGCTCTATTTCCTGCTCTGAATTGCTTTTAAAATATTCCTTCCAGTCAATCCATACACTCCGTTTGGACCTTCCCCTAACTCCCTTTCACTCCCTCAGGCCCTCACCACACTTTCTGTCTCATCCCCTCACCACACTCCTTCCTTCAACACCTCACCACATTCTGTCCCTCATCCCCTCACTACACTCTCTCCCTCAACTTCACCACACTCTCCCTCATCCCCTCACCTCCGCTCACCCCTCATCCCCCTCATCACACTCTCTCCCTCATCTGCCTCACCCACATACTCTCCCTCATCCCCCTTACCACACTCTCTCCCTCACCACTCTCTCTCTCTCCCTCATCCCCTCACCTCCTCTTACTCCCCCAGCCCCTCACCACACTCTCCCTCAACACTCTCCCTCATCCCCCTCACCCCTGCTCACTTCCTCATCCTCTTGCCACACTCTCCCTCATCTGCCTCCCCCACCCCCCCTCTCACCCCCTCACCACACTCTCTCCCTCGTCCCTCTCAGCACACTCTCCCTCATCCCCTCACCCCTGTCCACTCCCTCATCCCCCTCACCACACTCTCTTCCTCATCCCCCTCACTACTTTCGAATCCCTTCATCACACTCACTCCCTCATCCCCTCACGATTACTCCCTCATCCCCCTTACTACACTGTCTCCCTTATCCCCCTCACCACACTCTCTCCCTCATCCCCTCACCCCTTCTTACTCCTTCATCCCCTCACCCACACTTACTCCCTCTCAGGGTACAGAGATAACTGTGGGTTCTCAGGGGGAGAAGGGACATATAGACAAGTGAATAAACACTTGTACAAGAAGTCAGTAAGTTATAATTGTCCTTAAAATGGTCATTTGTATGGTTTCCTAATGCATATTCAAAATTTAAATCTTAGAGAGTGGTAAATAAGTAAGTGATAAACTTTTTCATATCAGTCTTCTCTTCTTCACCGCTAGGCGTTTTAATAGCATGTTACTTGGTTTTTGCAACAAGAATGACTGCTGACCAAGCAATTATATTTGTTCGGGCAAAGCGACCCAATTCCATACAAACTCGAGGACAGCTGCTCTGCGTAAGGGAGTTTACTCAGTTTCTGATTCCTCTTCGCAATATATTCTCCTGCTGCGACCCCAAAGCGCATGCCGTGACTTTAGCACAGTATCTGATTCGCCAGCGGCATCTGCTTCACGGGTATGAGGCCCGACTCCTGAAACACGTACCCAAAATCATCCACCTCGTCTGCAAATTGCTGCTGGACTTAGCCGAGAACAGGCCAGTGGTGACGGCAGAGGTGGCAGAAGTGCCCAGCCTGTCTGCCGAGATCGAGAAGACGGTTTCTGAGATGATCACCCTGCAGCTGGATAAGGAGTTGCTGAGGCAGGGCAGCGACGCATCCGACTGCTTCCCCGCCACCGCGGAGGCCACGGATTTTGAGAATCAGGATGTGATTCTTTCCAGCGAGCAAGGGATTGACCCTCTCTGGAAGAGGCGGAATGTCGAGTGCCTTCAGCCCCTGACTCACCTGAAAAGGCGACTCAGCTACAGCGACTCGGATTTAAAGAGGGCCGAGACGCTTCTGGAGCACGGGGAGACTCCGTGGACGGGGCCTGCCCAGGCCTTGCTTGGCCGTAACCCCGGGCTGCAGAAGCCCGTAAGCCACTGTTACACCCCCCAGTCTCCACAGCTTGATCCAAGTAAGGAAACGCTTGTCCGAAATACATTCTCTTTCTGGAATCAGGCTAAATTTGGAGGCCTGGAAGGACTCAAAGATGAGGGGTCACCGCTTTTCCATAGGGAGACTGTTGCAAAGGAAGTACAGCGGAGTAGAACCTTCTCTTCGGGTGTTTCAGGTTCATACAACCCTAGGGAGCCAGTTACACCGAACCTTGCAGATACCCCGACGGAATCGGACAGTTCTCCCCAGCAAGCGCCCCGCTGTCAGTACGAAACTCCCGCCGGTTGCTGCTCTGACTCGCCTCGCAGGCCCCTGGACTGTGGCTTCAGCCCCAAAGCACCCTTTTCCGGCGGACGCAGCCAAGCCCAGGACAGCAGAGACGTGTCCGCCGCCGCTGCACACGGTGCTGTGCAGTCCGGACTGAGTGCCGAAGCTAGGAGAGTACTGGCAGCCAAAGCCCTGGCAAGCTTAGATGAGTTTGCAGAGAAGGAGGAGGTGAAGAGGAAGGTAGAAATGTGGCAGGTACTTGTATCTCATTTAATTATGCATTGGCGGGGGGTACTTACGTCAGAGCAAAAACGGAATACATTTTACCAAATTGAAGGGTTATGGGAATTTGAAGACCTGTTTCGGTAATACCTGACTTCGGAACCTCAGGTTTCTCAGTGTCTGTGTGAAAGAGAGTGCGCAGTCCTTGGCACTTAGCTGGGTCCTCCGAGCAGGGCACTGATGCCCAGGCCTGTGGCGGCTTCTTGCTTTCCTGCTGGCTTTGTGGGACGGACAGACCACAGCAGACAGCTTTAGGAACTGACTTGAGCATGTCTAACGTGAATCTGGTGGGGAGCCATACTTGGAGAATCACTGGCCGAGACACATGAGTAAAATCAGAGGAAACTCTTGTCCAAAGTCCCCAATGTAAGTGTTGAGTGAGGTCAGGAGGACGCGCGATGGCTGCTATCCGCTCGGCTCCCCTTCCTGCAGACCCCCCGGTGCTCCCGTGTGGCAACGGTCAGATTCCACAAAGCACTGGGAGCGAGCTGCAGAGTACCTTTGTGTCGTTAGTTTTCTTAAAGAGATGTTATTTATTTATACAGAGTGAATGAGAGAGGTGTGGGGGCAGGGGCAGAGGGAGGGAAAGGGTCCCAAACTCGGCACCACGCCTGACCTGGGGCTCCGTCTCATGAGCCTGAGCTCATGACCTGAGCCGAAATGGAGTCAGAAACTGAACTGACTGAGCCACCCAGGCACCCCTGTGCCATTCGTTTTACCCAGAGTTGTGTCTTTGGGGTCCATTCCTGGGCTTTTACTTACATTAGAATGTGCACTTTTAAATTTTAACCCCTCTTTGTAGTGTATTTTCATTAGAAACAGTCTTAAATCCGTTGTGCTCTTCGCCCTGAATGAACAGCTGGTGTACACAAAAGGCCTTAACCACCTGGTTACCAGAAACTAGTCAACTGCCCAAATGTGGGGCTGACCTGGGGAGGCCTGTCTCAGTGAAATCTGCACTCGTCAGTCTGTAATGTCTCGCGAATTATCTGTGTGGCTGCTCCTCTGTCTTCTGCATTAATTAAGCAAGGCATGTACACTTTTCAGGAGGGTCAGAACCTTCCAGATGTAGAGGTGGGAAAACTTGGCCAGAGCCTTGCACCCACTTACAGCTGTGGGACTGCAGAGCACGTGCACATTTGTCAGAACTGCAGGGGTTCACTGAGCAAATATGTACAGATACTGACTTCCCACAACATGAAGTATTTTTTCTTATTCCAAACTGAACAGGACTTTGGGTCCTTCTGCCTGCTCAGTCTGCGAGCCCTTCCCTTGCAACACCGTAGCCATGAGAGCTAGTGGTCGGACCCCTCAGAGGTCAGCCTAGTGGGTGGGACTGTTGGAGCACAAAATACAAAAGCATTTTCCAGAGGTGAACATGACCCTTTTGTTTGGATAGGCTTGCCCTTTATTACACTTTCTGGATTTTATTATGAGTCTTTCAGCAGTAAAACAACCTAGCTGAGTTCTGGAAGGAGTCCAGAGCTATGATTTGGGCGGCACCGTGCTGCCCATGCCCCTGCTGGGACCTCTCTTGGCTGCTGCGTCACCTGCTCTCACGGTGACCCGGAGGGCAGAGGATACCCTAAGATTCTTCCTTCATCTTCACAACCCTTATGAATTAAGGATCACAGATAGGGAAGCTGAGGGTCACAGGGGTCAAGAGACCTGCTCAGGATCATGTGGCCCGAATGCGGCAGAGCCAGGATGCAGCTCATGAGTTTAACGGTTTGCTCAGCCCCCTGGAGGATTTCAGAAAACAGAGTAACCAGCATTTTCCTGGGAGGGCCTTAGTTGTGCCGCTCTGCCGAGCTTCTGGTTACTGCAGAGCCGATCGGCTGTGTGTGTGTGACCCGTGGGGACCGGGGCCTCCACACAGCTAAACACAGTGGCTTCTTTATGAGAGAATAAAGAGGAACCAGAGGAACCCAGAGCCAGAGGACCCTGGCAGCAGGGCAGGAGCGTCACGTCAGGGATCAAGCAAAACCCAGGGAACGCCGCCTGTCCCGTGCTGCTTTGGGCTCCTGGCCAGGTACCCTCTTCCCTGGGCCCGCACGTCTGCCGTCAGGCCCCGCTGCGGGTGCTGTAGGAATTGGATAGGCCGCCTGCTACAGGCTGTCCCAGTCTGAGTCTTGTGAACCGACCTGATGCGTGAATGAATGAATGTGCAATTATGATGCTTATTCCTGTAGCACACATACACTTTATTTACTAACGCATAAAGCTGAGCCCCATCAGAAGTTAGAATTCTTCCTGTTTGTCTGCTGCTCTCTGCGAGGTAAACTGTTAGGGCCTCCTGCTTTTAACTTGTCTCGAGCATTTGGGGCGTGGGCCAACTTGCTCGTCCCCTCCGCTGTCCAGTCTCAGGATGTGGGGCTGACTCTGTGTCCGGGCCTGCACGGGACTGTGGAAAGGAACGTGAGGCAGGTGTGTCTGCCTCGGTTGCAGACTGGTCAGCACTTTTCTGGGGCCCGTTTAAGGTTTAGTCAGCTTATCCTCGTCCCAGGGTAATTTGCAAATGTTGCCTTACATATTCTTTCTCGTCTGCCATTCTACTTCCTCACAGTATGTCTGTTTTGTTCCAAGGAACCTAAAAACGAAGGCTCCCTCTTCCTGAACAGTATCTGTGGTTTCAGAGTGGGGTAGGGAGCTTAGCGTTTAGGCCAACTGAGCCCCTCTGAGGGAGCTTTAATGCACACGTGGGGCAGGGGTCAGCTTCACAGAGGGAAACTGATGCTTGGAGAGACTCAGCATCTCAGCCCATGTGCCACCTCGAGGTGGGGGCACTGGGAGGGGTTCCTGTCCACCCTGAGCCTAAGACTGTCACTCGTGGACAGCCTGAGGGCCATCAAACCTCAAATGGTGCTCCCTCCCTGTTCCTCCCCGTCTCCCTCCTTCTCACCCCTCCCCTCCCCTCTCTCCCTTCCCTCTCCCTTCCCTCCCTCTCTTCTTTTCCCTCCTCCCTCCTCCTTCCTCCATCCCCCCTTTTCCTCCCCTCCCCTCTCCTTCTCTCCATTTTCCTTTTTCTTCCCTTCTTTGTAGAAAGAACTAAATTCCCGAGATGGAGCTTGGGAAAGAATATGTGGCGAAAGGGACCCTTTCGTCCTGTGCAGTCTGATGTGGTCCTGGGTGGAGCAGCTGAAGGAGCCCGTGATCAACAAACAGGACGTGGACACGCTGCTCGGCAGCCACATGGACGCCGCGGACGCGCTCTCTCTGCTAGAGAAGGTAAAGAGGCTGTGGGGCGGTTAAAGTTAACCAAGGCCTGAGCATAGGCTTCGTGCACTAAAGTCCATTCTAAAGAAGGGGGGTTGCGTGGAGTCCCATATCTGGGCCTGATTTAGGTTCTTCCGAGGTAAGAAGAAATGCACGCCCAGCATCACATGTTGAAGATACAAAGCCAGATGAGAACACCCGTGATCCCAGTGGCCCCACCGTGAACATCTGCAAGTCCTTTCTGTCAAACTTAGTGCATTTGTTACTACGGTCAAGGACAACCACATACTTCATTTTTTTAATGATTTTTTATTTTTTATTGATATATAATGTATTATTGGTCCCAGGGGTACAGGTCTGTGAATCGCCAGGTTTACACACTTCACAGCACTCACCATAGCACATACCTTCCCCACTGTCCATAACCCCACCACCCTCTCCCTACCCTCCTCCCTCTGGCAACCCTCAGTTTGTTTTGTGAGATTAAGAGTTACTTATGGTTTATCTCCCTCCCGATCCCATCTTGTTTCATTTATTCCTTTCCTACCTCCCAAACCCCCCATGTTGCATCTTCACTTCCTCATATCAGGGAGATCATATGATAATTGTCTTTCTCTGACTTATTTCACTTAGCGTAATACCCTCTAGTTCCATCCACATTGTCACAAATGGCAAGATTTCATTTCTTTTTATGGCTGCATAGTATTCCATGGTATATATATATACCACATCTTCTTTATCCATTCATCTGTTGATGGACATCTAGGTTCTTTCCGTAGTTTGACTGTTGTGGTGGACACTGCTGCTATAAACATTCGGGTGCACGTGCCCCTTTGGATCACTACATTTCATATACGTCATTTTTTAGACACAGACACGGATGCTCGTACACATGTACACGTGCCTTCACAGATGAGGATGCCCTGGATCCAGAGTCTGTTTCATAGTCTGCCTTCTCTCCCCTCTGTGAGAGAATGAGAGCGGTCACCCCTGGGGCTATGGCCAGGCCCTCATCAGGTCGTAATTTCCGTTTTCCCCTCCATTCATCTCCATGGCCCAGGATGAGGCCCTGTCTCTCAGGAAAGGCAGGCAGCGTGTGTGAGAGCAGGACTTGAACTCCAGTGGCTCTGCACACAGCTCAACCTGTCTGTCACAAAGCGCCCACCGCACCTTCCCCATCCTTTACCCCGACCCCCGCATGTGGGGTGTTTACATCATTTCAGGTACTTTGGTAGCCATCCCTGTAGTGACCGCTTGTGCTTGCAGGTTTTCTACATTTCCGGTTAGGCCCTCAGAGTAGATTCCGAGAAACGCAGTCAGTGGTGCTCGGGCGAGTGTGCCGACACGTGGTGGCTCCAGAGGTGAAGGGTTTCTTCTGCTTCTCTAAGTCAGCACTGGGAGTCGAGTCAGACGAGTTCCTCAGGCACCTTCCCCTGAAGTTCTGTCCTCCCTCTGCAGCTCCTGCCACAGACAGGGCGTGCCCGTACTGACGCTGGCCACCCGCCACTAGTCCGCATACCGCCGTGGCACGTCAGGCATCCGTCAGCGGACCCGAAACTGTGTGTACAGAAACGAGTGGGTCCTCTCCTCAGTTCACTGCAAGGAAGACGTTTGATTTGAGATTGCACTTGTGTTCATATCCAGTTATACCTTATGTACTAACTAAGCAGCTTTGATTATATCTCCCCAAAAGCTTTTCAGATTGTATGAACACGTAACAGGAAGCATTGGCGGAGCCCTTGGTAGAGAGTTTGGTGTTTGTGGTTACGCGTACTTGGTCGCACATCAGCTCCCGGCTGTGCAGTTGCTTTGAGCTTATGTCTTGAGGCATTTTTCAAACCACTTGTTTGATTTTAATTTCTGCAAACACAGGGCCAGCACCAGACCATTCTCTGCGTGTTGCACTGTGTCGTGAGCCTGCAGGCGATCCCTGCCGATGTGGAGGAAGCCATCCTCGCCCGTGCCATTAAAGCCTTCACCAAGGTGGGTCACATGCTGCCATCAGCATAAGTGCAAATCAGAATCCAGAGGCCCCTCACCTTCTCTAAAATAAAATTCAGTATGTTTTTCCATAATGGAAATGTGTCGGACATTTCTCAAACATAGTTGTAGACATTGGCCAAAAAATAGTAGTTTCTCAACAGTGATATTAGAAAAAGCTGAACTGTGGGGTTTTTGAAGGAGAACATTGAAACAAAGAGCTTTCATACAGAAACAAGTGGATGTGGAGAAAATGATTTTAGATCATGTGCCAAGTAGGAGAGATTCTTTTCTGGGTGAGCCCATTCTACTTTGGGCCTAAACACGTAACTGACCCCTGAGAACCCAGCATCAGTGACCCGGGACCCTGCCCTAGTTGGCAAATCAAAGCAGAAGGTAATAAAAGAGTTTCTTTTCTGTGCACCCCTTTTGGCTTGCAGCAGTCCGTCCTGGCCGAAGCAAGAACCAGGGCTGTGCCGGAAGAAAAGGCTCCTGTCAGCCTTTCAGTCTGGTTCCTCTCATAGGGGTCGTGACCCTGTCCTGAGGCCCACAGCCCAGCTTCTCCCCATCTGTGGTAAACAGGAGTGATGCTGCCACTTACTGTTCATGTGGTTGGCCGCGGCTCCCTGCAGCGCTCCAGAGCGCGCGCTTGCAGGCGTCTGGCAAGCGTCTGGGTCACTCTCGGGAGCTTTGCGCCTCCGGGTCTCTTCTCAGCAGTTTCCACAGCCAGCAGCTCAGTTGTCCTTTGCACCTTACATGGATGTCGTCACAGCCCGCGAGGCCACCAGCCCTTGGGGAGGGTTGCAGTTGGGTGCTTAGCAAAGTGAACGATTCACACCGTTATTAATGTTAATGAGAGGTTTTTCAGGTAGGATAAACAATGTAATGAAGTTTCTGAATTTAATTGAAGAAATCCTTAGTATTGGTTTCTCTGAATGTGGTAGGAATTCTTTTTAATTTCTGTTGGCCTTTTAGGGGGATCCTGATGAAAAGTTCAACATAGCAGTTGTTCCACATCCAGCTTTGAAAAGGTTGAGAGACATTTATGGCCATTTGCCCTGTGCACAGTCTCATGAGCAGAGGCCCTGGCCACTCTCTCTCATTCTGGGCCAGCTCTCCAAGGAGGCTGTACAGCCGCTGCTTCCAGTGTGACAAGGGTCCTGTTTCCCTTCGGCCAGAGCTTCCCAGGCCTGCGACCCCTCAGCAAACACTGGGGTCACCTGCACTCGGAGAGACCGGCTAGGATGCAGAGCCCCTGCTTGTGCGGCCCACAGCTCTTCAGGGGATGGGGGGCTTGGAGGGCGAGGGCAACTGTGTGATTGTGACACACATGCTGTCTGGTGTCATAGAGTTGTTTGTCTCTGACCCGGCCGTCTTGTGTCCACAAACATGTTGGCCAGGCCCGGACCCTCCGCAGCACTGCCCAGGGAGCCACTGTTTCTGTGGGAGTGGGAGTGGGCAGACGTGTGGGAATTGCTCGGCTTCTCTGTCCTCCCATCACTCGACCCTGCAGCCTGTTGAACTTGGGCAAACAGCCCAAATACGGGGACTCAGTGTGTCCCCACCGTAGAGCAAAGCAACGAACTTCCATGAAAGTTCTCTTTGGCCAACAAACACGTGAGCCTCTCATGTTCACAGCTCCCAGAAACGCCACGGCGGTGGGCATGGTGGGGTGTACGTCACAGAGGTTGGGTGTGAACCGGGCTGGTGGAAGGCTCCGGGCAGGTTGCCACAGGGCAGCCTTTATAGCTGGCAAGTGTTGTTTTGATAGACGCCGTCCCTTATACCCGCGGCCGTTAGTCTCCAGACTCGACACTGCCTTCACAGCTGCCTGGCTTCATGACAACCTATGAGGACACATGTCCAGGCTGGGGGTTTCAGTTTTTGAGTTTTCGTTCATAAGTTTGGTATTGACATGATTGGCAGTTCTAATATTGTCTTTCAATTAGAGTTGATGTGTGAGCGGTGTTGTGAATGCTGTGCATTGTATATAATTGTGTTTGGAAGTCAGAGTTTTTCTCCACCCTCCTTTCTTTTCTTTCTTTTTTTTTTTTTTTTTTAAGATTTTATTTATTTATTTGAGAACGAGCATGAGAAGAGAGAGGTCAGTGGGAGAAGCAGACTCCCTGCCTAGCAGGGAGCCTGATGTGGGACTTGATCCCGGGACTCCGGGATCATGACCTGAGCTGAAGGCAGTCGCTTAACCAACTGGGCCAACCAGGCGCCCCTCCACCCTCCTTTCTCTTCTCCCCAAATCAGCTGATTAAAATTCTGCTACTGTGTCCTGAGTCTGTTCATTCTTTGTCAGCAGGTTAATTTTGACTCTGAAAATGGACCAGTAGTTTACAACACCCTGAAGAAAATATTTAAGCACACACTGGAAGAAAACAGGAAAATGATGAAAGATGGCCCACAGCCTGACATTTAGTGACGCTTCCCGACGCTTCCCTGGTGGCGGACACCTCAGACCCGGGGACCCAGATGGCTTTTCTGCGCACAGATGAGCAGGTTGGAGCCTGGAGCCACTTCGTCTCACAGCACTTTATCTCAGACGCTCTTGGTTTGGTTTGTGCTAAGAACGCTCATTTCTGTTGGAAGCAACTATTTATTTTAAAATATCCTCAAGCTACATTTTTGTGCTGAAAAATTGCCATAATGTTGGTGCCACTTTTTTATATTTATTTAACTGAATTAATATTGTTCTATTAATATGTAAGTATGTGGTGTTTACATCTTTATTCTTTTTGACATTTTGGAAAAAGTTGTAACTCTTTTTTTCCGAAACAGTTATTTTGTCAGTGGAATCCTTGCTGGAGCTTTTACCAAATAGGTGATTCTAGTAGTAAAACTTCACTGTGGATCCATCCCCCTGATCCAGGACCTAAGGAAGTCACAAAGTGTCTTAAGCTGTTTTGTATTTGTTAATAAGAAGGCTATTGATATGACATTTTTTAAGGATTTTTTTTAATTTGCAAATTTTTTGTTTTTTCTTTTTATAAACATATCAAAGGATTTCTCCGAGTGATTTAGTGATTTAGTTTTGTGTTGAAGGTTGACTGAGGTGATGGGATTTTTTACCACAGGAAGTAGACTTGCTCTTGGTTAGGCTTCCAGACCCACCCGCCCCTGCCAACCCCCCGCTGTCACAGGAAGCAGGAGCGCCTCTGAGCATATCCAGCCCGATGCCCAGCAAACAGCATCTTCACAGAGGAACGGGGGCCACAGCGGGCAGTGTGGGCAGCTGCTTCGACTCCGCAGGGAGGACCATTGGGCGGGGGCAGGCTCAGTGCAGCAGCGTGACCACCAGCCCACACCTCCCACGTCTGCCCTTCCGTGGACCCCGTCATTTCAGGGCCCTGTCTTCAGCCACTTGTCACTCGGAGAACTAAGATTCTTAAACTAAATGTGGTGCATGTAGACCACACTCACCCTGTGTGCCCGAGATAAGAAACAAGTGAACTAGTTACGGCCTAACTAGTTCTCTGTGGACCAAACTGTCTTTCAGCAGTGGAAGCTGTGATGAGTGTGTGCAGTACCAGAGGTCAGGTCACAAGGAGGGTCCTCATTTTTCCCAGTAAATGTGATACTCATCTAACCGATTTCATACTAAGGCAATGACCTAGTTTTAGAGACAGAATTTCGGGGGAAGCGAGGCTAACCACGGATGAGTCTGTCCACCTCCTGCACCTCCTAATCAGGCGCTGGCGCATTGGGAATATCGTCATCCTTGTCGGTCTTACGAACTCTGGTGGCAAGTGCTGTTGCCTCCCACACTGTTTCAGTTTTCCTAGGAAACCAGATCCAGTGAATTTTAATGAACCGGTTACCCATTCCTGAAATGTCTCATTTTTAAGTGCCTGAAAGGGAAAGGAAGAAAAGATTACATTTTATCCAAAGGTACATTACAAAAAATGGGTTTTTTACCCAAAAAATGTTTACTGTCATTTCTGTCAGTCTCACATGGGCAGGTGCCAGCACGGCTCATTGGACAAGTGGCCGTTGGCCTGTGTGTCTGAGATGGTCCCGCGCATCCCCGATGTGACAATGGCATTGCGCCAGACTGAGGAAGAGAGCTGGTGGGAGAAGTGTATCAGGCTGTCTGCAGGCTTTGTATGTATTCGAATAAAAGTGAAAAGAACAAGCCACAACCCTCGTATATCTTTAGCTTGGAGCTCCTGATGACACAGGTGTGGTTGGTGATGGGACGATCCTGATGGGCGGACTGGGTCATGGGCTGGACGTCAGCCAGGCTCTGGTCAGTCCCAACTCTGTCGTCCAGATGAGCCGGCGGGGACGGGAGGAGAAAGGAGAGCTCGAGGAAGAGCGGGTGAGCGGAGTCTTTAAGGCCAGCAGGGTTCCTGCCTTTCTACATTTGAGTGGGTGAGGAGTTCTCTGCAGCCCAAAGGATAGTTCCACTGTCCAGAAGAACTTCGGGATTCAGCTCAACAGAAGTGTGAAGGGTCAGGAGCTCACTCAGAACTGATGGCCGTGGGCACGCCTGTGCATTGTCTGGGCTCCTTCCATACTGGGGAGAAGTATTGTTCAGACCTGCCTGTTGAAGGAGTCCCAGACTGACGACTCCAGTCCTGCCCGCCTCCCTCCCCAAGCCACCTGCGTGCCTCTGGTGCTCCTGACAGAGGGCCCAGCTGCGACAATGGGCCTTGTCACCCCTGGGCTCTGTGGTGGCTCCCTAGAGCATCGTGTTCTTTGTCACTTAGTGAAAGTACCCATCTTCTCTGTCCTCTGGAGCCGGCTGAGCTGCTGTGTTACCGTTGCATGATCTCAGCCTATCTCACTTAGGAAGTGCAGGACTTGTGGCCACATACGGTTTCCTTCTACTGAGAGCTCGCTGATGCCCTCTGCGCCAGAGTGCTGCTGACTTTGAGGTGCTTTATCTGTTCGCGGAGCTCAGAAACGCCCTGTGGTGTGGTTGGTCGTGTCTTCGGCTCCCCAGTCTTATCTCGGGAAGTGCGTGTGCTTCCATCATGCCAGAGTCCGTGCAAAATGACATGTCATACTTCAGAGAAGTTTCTGTTTTCTCGTAAAGGGAGGACTCCTGCTCATGAGCTTGCCTGCAGTTTCAACCAGTTCTCTAGACATCTCAGGGCATCTCCGGAGACAATATGCTCTAGACAGAGTGCATACCCCAAGTTCCCGATATCTGAAGGCCCGCAGGTGATTTTCGGGATTGATTAAATCTGACAGTTTACTTAGGACATCTTTGTTCTTGCTTCACATGAACAAGGGCCGATGTATTTTCAGTGCAAGTAAATCAAGAATGACATTCCCTTTGGTGCTTTTTATGAATATGGCTCAAGACTATCACCTTCTCTAAAGGAACCTACTCGGGACGCCTGAGTGGCTCAGTCGTTAAGCGTCTGCGTTCAGCTCAGGTCATGACCCTGGAGTCCCAGGATCGAGCCCCATGTCAGGCTCCCTGCTCAGCAGGGAGTCTGCTGCTCCCTCCCTCTGCCCCCTCTCTATTTCTCTCTCTCTTGCTCACTCTCCCTCTCTCTTAAGTAGATAAATTTGAAAGAAAATAAAGGAGCCTTCTCAATGCTAGATGGTTGAAAATTGTTTACAGATAATGTGGCAGGAGAAAAATTCAACAAATCCTGGGATGCAGTTGTATGTTCTGTTTTAGTTATGCTTTTAGGCATGAGCTGGCCTCTGACTAGCGCAATACTGGCCATAAAACTGACTTGTGAGTGATCGCGATGGAGGCCTTGAGCAGCGTGGCTTGGGGAAACCTTCGCTGTCAGCCATAGCTGAAAACATCCAGTAGTGGAAGACCATGTCCAAACCAGACTTTACGATCTTAAGGCCTTGTCTTGCACTGGAAATAAAACTTTCCTGCATCCACGGCAGCTCATATCACAACAAAAGGCTGGTATGTGCTTGCCTTCTGGCTTTGTTGATTAAACTGAAAAGACTTTTGACCCTTAAGAGTGCCTGTTTTGGGGAGAAGTTATATTTTTGGAATAGTTTCCTATTTATATGGCCATTTGATTACAGCCTGAAAATACTCCTTGGCTTTGATCGAGTGAGTTGCTTTCTCGTTTTATTTCTTCTCTTAAAAATTAAATTAAATTAAAATTACTCAGACATTGAATTAGACTGAACCATGTGGAATAACCTGCGGGTCAAAAATGATCAAATGTGGCCATTTTCTGTGGTTCAACCTAATACTAAATTGAATGCTCTTGAGACAAGTAGGTGACAGTTCCTGAATTACTTTAACAAAGTCTTAATTAGGTGACCAGTTATTGTCTGACAATATTCTATATGCTCATAGTGGGCTTCAAAACAAGTGGAAGAGACCAACGTGAAATTCCTTTCAGCAGGCAAGACCGTGCCTCCTCTGTGCGTGGTGCTCCACTGATGCTGGGGGCACACGGGGTCCTTTTTTCAGTCATTTGTCCTCTGTCAGGACCCAAGTTTAGCACATGCTTGGAACTAATACTGGAATCCTAATTCTCAACATTGTCACTCACTTAATTCCTAACATCTTTCAAAACTCATCTCTAATTCCTTGGAACAGAATGTGTTAATTGTAGTCAAATTCAGCTACTTGACATACAGCCCAAGGAGATAGAGGGGTATTACAGGCTGGATTAGGTCCTGAAATTCATGTTGAAGTTCTGACCTCTGGTACCCTACAATGTGACTGTATTTGGAGATGGGGTCATTGCAGATGGAAGATGAGGTCACTAGGGTGGCCCTAATCCAGCATGACCAGTGTCCCTCTGAAGAAGAGGAGATGAGAACACAGACATGCACAGGACCATGGCCACATGAGGACACAGGGAAGATGGCCGTCTACCTGCCAGGAGAGAGGCCTCGGGGAAACCTGTCCTGCCCACACCAGGACCTCAGACTTCCCGCCTCCAGGGCCATGAGAACATAATTTTCTATTGGGTCAGCCTGGGCTGTGGTGTTTGTTAGAGCAGACCAGTGCAGTCCTCAGTGCTTCTGCCGTCCCTTGTGTATGTTTCGCTGTTGCGTCACCTCAAACAGCACAGTGCTTGGATTTGCATGTCTCTCAACATCATACAGATTGCAGAACGCAGTGTGTGTTCTCCTGTGACTTGCTCACATTTGTCCCTGTTGGATAACGTTTACCCCTCCCCATCTCGGGCTCTGGGGACTAGGACACAGACATAATGGAGCAGGGGGAGGGAGGGTGGTGTGATTCCACTCACCACACCCACACATGAAAACTATAAAATATTTCCAAGAGAGACTTAAAAAGATAGAGAGATACACCTGTCCGTGAGTCGGAAGAGTCAAGATTGTTAATATGCCAGTTCCTTTCAGATTGATCTCTAGAGTCCATACAATCCTAATCAAAGTCCGAGCGAGTTTTTCTTGAAGAAACTGACAAACTAATTCTGAAATAAGGCAAGTGACCTAGAACAGCCAAAAGAACTTCAAAAAAGAACAAAGTTGACAGGCTAACACTACTTGATTTCGAGAATTATTATAAAGCTGCACTAACCAAAACTGTGTGATTCTAATACAACAATAGGCAGACACATCAATGGAACAGGATAGTCCACAGAAAGACCCCCACACACATGGACTCCTGAGTTTGGACAAAGGTTGAAAAGGCAATGAGGAGAAAGGACAGTCTTTCAACAAATGGTGCTGGAGCAATTGGACACTTAAAAGCAAAATAACAACAATGGAAAATCCCTGGATCCATATCTTGCATAATCTACAAAAATCAACTTTTAAATGTAAAGTCTAAAACTATAAAATTTCTAAGAGAAAATATATGTGACCTTAAGTTAATCAGAAGTTTGTTGAATACAACACCAAAAGTACAGTCCACTAAAGAACAAGCTGATAATCTGTACTACATCAAGATTAAAAACTTTCGCTCTTCAAAAGACACCGTGAAGAAAATGAAGGCAAGCCATAGGCTAGGGGAGACTCTTTCTCAAAGCATGTGTCTGATAACAGACTATCTGAAACCTCTCAAAACTCAACAAGATAAAAGAAAAGTAGCCCAAACTTATAAAACTGCCAAAGATCTGAATACCCACCAAAAATACAGGATTGGCAAATATGTGAATGAAAAGATGCTCAGCAGTATTAGTCATAGAGGGCGCCTGGG